TCAAACCGTGGGAGTATGACTTAAATAATACTTGTCCTATTACATTACTCAAGTGCTCTCGCAAAGCACTTGTCAAACTTATTAACCAACGGCTCTCAAAATTTATAGTACAACATAATATTTTAAGGGACAACACTTCGCTGGTCTTCCATTCAAATCTACATTTGAACTGTTACATATTATTGACAACATCAAATATGATGCGGCTCATAATAAGAAGGACCTTTGTATCCTATTATAAGATATATCGAAGGCATATGATCGTGTCAACATTTTCATGCTTATAAGAGCTTTAAAAAGACTACACATCCCTTTATGCTTTCTTAGATTATTCTAAAAATCTTTGGTAACCGTCACAATCAAGTATTTACCTTTTTTGGCAACACTGACTCATATCAGGTTATGTAAGGTATAGACCAAGGAGAAATTATATCACCTCTTTTATGGTGTATATATTACGATCCCCTCTTGTGTAGAATTCAAGACTCTTCATACGGTTACTCTCTTTCACATACTTGGAAATCTAATATTCTGCTCAATGCTACCGAATCAACAAACGTTAAAGTATCAACACTCGCATATATGGATGACACATTGTGGATCACTAGATCTCGTGAGGACCTTATAGCCATCATTGAAATTGCAGAAGACTTCTACAAGTTAAACCATATTAAAGTCAACTGGGAAAAGTCAGTTCTCTTGACCAATAAAGCTAAAGATAGACAACCTTTTTCATGTATTACAAACGGCTGTCTTACCAATATTGATCCTTTACCTTTTAATGAGTCAACTAGATACCTGGTTGCCTGGATCTCACTAGGACGAAACAAAACCTTCACTATTAATATGTTGAAAACTGATATAAAAAATGCTACAACTGTTATGTTCAAAAAGAAAATGACCAACAAACAAATGGTGTATATTTTTAACACTGTCTTTACTCCAAGATTTGAATACCGTGCTTAACTAATGGCGCTAACAGCTGCATAATGTGATTCGATTGACTCACCATATTATGCCTTTATGAAAAAGAAATTACACTTTTCATGTGACTCGCCGTCTTCTGTGTTTCACTCAAGGCAGCTTTATGGTCTCATTAGACTGTATTATCGATTACTTGCAGCTCAAAGTGAAGCGTTACTTTTTTCACTCAATGATAGTAATCTCCTAGGAGTTACTACTCGCTTACGTATCAAACAATTACAACAAAAAAAATGGCTCCATATTTCACCACTCGTCAATTGGCCATTTTCTTGCTACCTAAATTCGAATGATTGGATAACAAACCTATTATGTAATTGGAAAGGTCTTCGTATTTTAGCTCAAATACCTGATGCAGACTTAAATCTCATTAAAGGAGGAAATACCCAATATCTTCATTGATTCCTAATGATTTTAGATCCATTGTCAAAAACTTTAGAAAATACTCATTATTATTCGTAAAACAGCTAGTATTCTCAAAAGGTGACATCATGTTGACATTCGCTGATTTGACTGTTTAACAGGGTTTATCTCTAACTGGATGAATACCTCACTAGTTTAAAATGCTTCAAAATAAAATACTCAACAGCAATTCTAGAGTCGCCAACGTTTCGTACCCACATCTAAATAATTGTAATTATGATTTCTCTCCTCCTATTAAGACTGCTGGTTTTACAACCTTCGTATTAGAATGAAATTATGGTCACAATACACCTTTCGTAGGTAAACTACTCAAAACTGAAGAACATTATGCGCATATTTTTTATATGTTACCCACAACTGAACCAGAGAGTAGAACCATACTTTTGGACTGTACTCGTTGCTCTATATATGACAACCAGGCCTATGTTCTAAACCAAACTACCTACAAAGATCCAAAATGTTTTTTCATTGTGCCTATCAACTTCTGTTTTAAGATTCTGATAAATCATAATACTCGCAATTCAACATATGGTTGCTCTTGGTCCATTGATCTCCTAAATGAGTTAGCTTATTCATTTATTAAAATTCGTAGTATTCTGCAACCTCTGATACCGGCATTAGATTTTATTTATCCTCTTCTTCCTACTTTTATAGAAAAATTCATTCCTCTATCACATTCTCATTTGCTATTAACAATTCGATCCCAATTTAACTTCTGCACCTCTTTAGAATTCTATACAGACGGTTCCTTAAAAGACCTTGGCTTCTCTTCAATTAGAATGGGTTTGGCTTGGCTACAAAAGGCACCTTCTGCTCTATTGATTTCTTATTCAACAGCCTTTACAGCGTCCTTTCCGTCTTCTTCAACTGCAGAATTAGCTGCCATTTTTACAGCTATTCTGGTCACTCTGGCAAAATGTCACATAAAGATATTTACAGATTCAAGCACTGTAATCTCGCAATTTTCAAAATATCAATTACTATCAACGATTTCATCGTCTTAACGACCTTTTCTTAAAATTGCCAATGTTCATATTTGGTACTGTATATTTCAAATCATCTATACTTTAGACCTAAAGGTATCTATGGTCAAGGTTAAAGTACATTCAGGCGATTTTTATAACGAAAAAGTTGACTATCTAGCAAAGACATTCTTGGATTCCTCAGCGCTATATCTTAATATTAACAATCAGTCTCATACAACACTTTACTATAACAACTTGGCTATTGCCTCTCCGATCAGACAATTTATTAAGAACATCAATCAAACTGAGAGCCTCTCTGCGTTCTTGAATCTAGATATCAATTCCAAATACGTTAATATGGCCATTGATTGGAACTCCACCACTTTTTGCATTTCAGATAATGTTGCCTCAACTGCCACCAATTATAAAGCTTCAGCGTTTAAAAAGAAAAAGATCCAACAGATGCTTGAAATGCTTCCTACACTTGAAGTATTAAAATTGCGCCATCCACTCTTATTTGATAGTGCACAGCAATGCATCAGATGTGAATTGGAATTAGAAGATTTTGCACATATTTGGACTTGTCTTATGGTACTTCACAGAACACAACGTCTCATTTATGACTCCCAATCATTACTCAATACCATCACTCAAAATGAAGTACAACCTTCTGATATCCAACAACTGAATATCTGGTCTCTCTCAAATGTAACGCAATTCTCATTTATTGATTTAATCAAAGATATTATTCCTACAATATTATACAGCATCATCTATCAATCACTCACCTCTAAAGAAGCCACAGAAGCTGCATTGTCTTCTTTAATGCATTTTATTTTTGTACAATCTAATGACATTTGGAAAGATCGTTATTCACAATTTAAAGACTTCGAAAAGTCTCACGAAATCACAGACCATTTAAAAAGATCTCTTACTGAGAACTCTGGCTACCATTTCTCCTCCTTGTCTCTGACATCCATGCCTCACAATGTGATAGATCAAATGGTCTGTTTAGGATCTCAATGGACAAATTTTTGGTACCATAGGGGTCAAGCCCTTTTCTGTTTCTAATTGCTGAAATGTGACGACATGATTTTGGTTGTGTTAGATTCTAGAAAAGTGCAGGATCAGTCTTGATTTAGATAGTTTCATGATTATTTAGATAGAGATTTTCGTTATTTCTGAATATATGTAATTTTAATTTTTATTATTATTTTTCAATAAAGTTATAGCGAATCTACTACACTTAAAAAAAAAAAAAAAATTCATATTGAGAATGGCACCTAAAAAAAAGAATTCCAAACAACGAGGTTGCTCAGCGTCTCCACATATTGTCAAAAATAATTCTTCTAACTCCAATAAAAAACCAAACCCAACACAAAATAGAGATAATACTCCAACTTCTAGTAGCTCAACAACAGTTGTATCTTCAGAAACTAAGGAAGTTGACTCAATACCTTTAGATAAAGGTAAAAACAAAGAGGAAGATATTACTCCAAAAGCTCTTAATGTTAACAGAGTGTACAACCTATCTAAAAATCTTTTCGGTGAAAATTACAAATCATCTCAAGCCTTCAATAGGCCCAAGCCAACTTATCACACATTTTTTTCTTTGAATGACCTTCCTGGAAAATCGCCACAACAAAAGGTCTCCTTTGTTATTGACCTCATTTTTGACCATTATGATTCGTTCATCAGTGTGGTCGCTTCAAAACACCCTGATGATATCACTCTTCGAATTGCTAAAATCTCCTTTCGCAACAAAGAACATTGAGACTACGCGTATACTATCAAATTACCAAATATGGATAATCGCACATTTTCACTTCTGGAAATCATTCCCAAACATCAATTTATTCTGGCTCAGTCGATCAAGGTCACAGAAATCCCCTTAGATATAACAGAATACAGAATTTGTATGGTATTTTCAAAACTAAGAAAGATCATTAGGCTCACAATGGACACTAAAAAACCTTTGGCAGCAGGCGACTATTACTTACGACACTGACTCTAATTTCAATAATATAAAAAAGGAACATAGACTTTTTGTCATCAACAACATGGTTAGATATCACATGTGTGATCTACCAAAAAAGGAGATACTTGCCAAATTGAAATTTTCTGCTAAATTGGCTAGGCTTCCTAGATTTACGACAGGAAAACAACTTACCAAAATTGGACACATGTTAAATGCTACTGCTTGGATCATCTCTAGGGCCAGATCTAACTATCTTCCCCTTCAACATGCTTATTTCTATTTCAATTCAGATGATGATGTTGAAGCTGCAATTAGTAACGATAACCTTACTATTGACAACAAACATGTGATTTAGAGCCAATCAAACGTAAAGCTCTGTGCAATTTGTTCGTCCCCACATCATAAAGCCAGTGAGTGTCCTAGAAAAAGAAGAATCCCAGATAACTGTAATGTATAAAAATTATATCAACACTTCCAACCGGCATATTTCACAAATTATAAAGTACTGTCAAAACCTTTAAAAGGTGCAATTAATCCAAACATTACCTTTACGCACGTGACCAGAAATTCCCAAGAACCCAAGTCTTCTTCAAATAATGAGATAAGAGGTCAAAAGATCTCACATACTAAAATACCAACACCAAGTAACATCTATGAGACCAATGATATACATAATCAACAGACAAGTTCATGGTCAGATGGTATTTTTGATACATTGAATGATCGTCTATTTGACCAAACAGTTGTATCAACTCCCTCAATATACTTGGCGAATGGTATGATGAAAGGTGGATCTATGCAAGAAAATAATCAAGATAATTTCAAAGAATTTGTTCGACAACAATTCGCAGCACTCAATGATAACCTTTGCTATTTAGTAAAATCACTTGATTTTACTATGCAACGTATCGCTGCTATTGAGAAATCAATGAACATTAAAGTAGTTACTCCTTCAGAGGTGAATGCTAAGAACCTTGAAGAGATGATACTGAAAGCATGACTTGTGATGAAATCGAACCTAAGATTGACACATCATCCTCCATTATTGTGCAATAATGAAAAATAATTGAGAGATTAAAAAGCTTTAATCAGATGCATCAGAATCGCATTAAATCCTTTACAATGATGGTTAACACTTTAGTTAAATCTTATGCAACGTTTCAATCCATTTTTGTACAAAACAAATTGCTCCCTAAGGAACTCACCAATAATATGTTTCCGCTAGGAGATGCTTTCGACAGTGATGTTGATCAGTATCTCAAGGATCTTCTACAATTTTAAAATTTTAATATGAACACTGTCATTACTGATTTTTCTGCACAAGATGCACATAATGATTTTCCTATTACCTCATATACCTCTTCTCACATTTCATTTGCCACTCATAATGTTAAATCTTTCACTAATATTGCTAAACAAACTTTGGTAGTTGAATTGTATTCTTCACTCAACTTAGATATTATTGGACTACAAGAAACAAACTTTTCATCCCTTTCTACAAATACTTTTAATCACACTTTCTCATCCAAATTCACTGGTTTCTTTGGTTTCATTTTACATTCGCAATCAAAAATCTGGTTTCAATGTGAGTCTTCTACTTCATCCGCATTTAGCGAATCATGTTTTTCACCATGAATCTAAGCATAATCGTATCATTCTTGTAAATCTGCAATTTGCCAACAAATAAAAATTAAGAGTAATTAATTGTTATCCTCTACCTGGCAATCACGCTATTAGAAAACAGATACAAATGGACCTCTTGAAATATATTTAAGATGCATACATAAATAATTATCATATGGTATTTTTAGGGGACCTTAACGCAGACATTGATAATCCTAAGCTGCATTCTCAAGATAAAAGATTCTTTGCTAGTTTGAATAACTTTAATTTGTTTAACACTTTTTCAGTTAAATATGATACACAAAGTAGAGTTCCTAATGAGTCGAGTTAATTCACGAGTCAAATGAGTTGATTCGAGTTTGAGTCGAATCGAGTCATTAGTCGAGTCGAGTCAATAAATTGACTTGACTCATTTCAATTCGAGTTGACTCACGTAAATTGATATTACATAAATTACCATTTTAGGAATTTTGTATAACTCATTTTGGTGATTTTCCAATTTTTTGATAGCCAAAAATTTCCTTTTTAGGACTTCATATTATATTTGGAATCTTATGTAACTCAATTTTGTACAATCCCGGAATTCGAAAAATATACCGGTTACGAAGCTTTAATTGAATATTTTTAACAATATCTCAGCGTCCAGTGATCTGTTAGACAAGAAAAAAACTCTCTACCATGTCCATTACTAAACAAAATACAAAAATCTCAAAAAATTTACAAACGACCCAACCTTATCCAATAAATTTAATAACAAACGACAATAAAACTAGAACTCCTAATGAGTCGAGTTGACTCACGAGTCAAATGAGTTGACTCGAGTTTGAGTCGAGTCGAGTCAAAAATTTTCGACTCATTTCAACTCGAGTTGACTCGAGTTGACTCATATGAATTAATGTTACACGAATTACTATTTTGGGAATTTTGTGTACCTCATTTTGATGATTTTCCATTTTTTTGATAGCCAAAATTTTCCTTTTAGGATCTTGTGTAACCATACACATATATTTGGAATCTTGTGTAACCCAATTTGGTACAATCCCGGAATTCGAAAATATACCGTTACGAAGCTTTAATTGAATATTTTTAACACGTTTTCTTAAATATCTCAGCGTCTAATGATCTGTTAGAAATGCAACACATATCATTTTGATGAGCGTATCTTGGCGAATACGATAATGCAGAATTCACGATATTCTGATCGGTAGATCTCGAGATAATGGCCTCCGAAACATTAATATAATTTTATTATTTTATTATTTATATAATCAGCAAATATATTTTGGGGTTTTTTATTTGACTCGAGTTGAGTCAAGTCAAATTTAAGTATAACTCGAGTCGAGTCAAGATAGAGTTTTAAATTTTTTTGACTCGACTCGACTCGACTCATTAGGAGCTCTAAATAAAACCATAGAACAAATAGCCTCTACTCTACAAAAAAATAAATCAAATACCATAAACGCTTCAGCTACAAACAAAAGAACAAAAATCTCTAACGAAGTTTCTTCTTTGACAATCGAAATATCATAGACTCTATTTTACTTACACCTTACCTTCTTCTAAAGTTGACATAAGTTTTTCTGAACATCAAACTTCACCATTTCCACAATAAATAGAAGATATAAATACATCTACCATGGAAATTGACTTAACAATAACTTCCATTGAAACCCAAAATAATATAACCAATGATTCAATGCATGCTAATCAAAAATCATCTACTTCATCACAATAAAATAACAATATTCCTCCATATAATAACAAAGGAAAGCAAAAAGAAATATGGTCAGCCGAAGATATTTACGAACAAATATTTGAAATCAAAAAATATAATAATGAAAGTGCAGAATCAAATGAATTTACGATTATTACGTCACCAATACACTTTTACGTGTTCACTAATTCCAAAGACGTGAATGGTTCAACTATTGCTGAGAAACGTTATACCATCAACAAACTATTCAGCCATTTTAACAATTACAAGAGGTCATACTACAATACGAAACAAAGTAAATTTTATATTTACTTCATGCAACCGAAAAAGTCAAAGAATCACAACACAATCCAACATTTTTAGTAATCGATCCAAATGCAAAACAACAACGAAAGGATGATGAAAAAGAACATTGCATAAAAGTTAATGACATACCACTTTTTATAAAATCCGACATCGTCAGAAATTGCTTTGACAAATTTGAAAGGATCTGCAGATTTTCTATGATTACAAGAGGCCTATGGCAAATAGCATTCATCGTTTATAATTCTGCAGAAGCAATTAAAGAATTTTGTGAAAACAAATTGTTCACATCAGTGTTATTACCCAACTAATGATTAGGCAGACTGAAACACGTAATCAATTGAGTAGCAGCAAGATTTAGCTCAATCTTTAGTAAGTTTTGGAAGAGACTTCAGTAAATCTGAGTTAATGTTGACTTTGGTGTTCTTTCACAACTAAGCTTCAGAATTGGCAAGTGTGATGACTTCCAAATTCTCCACGTAAGACAAGTGATTTCCTTTGACGTAGGAAATTCACAGATGACGTTACAAAGTATTATTTGTAACCAAGTAATTATCATTTAAGTAATTTAAAGATCACTTAAACCTAAGTGACACAAAGCAGGATTTATAACGTTAAGTAATTTACAATTACTTAACCAAGGTTTTCACAAAGTGAGTTGATAACGTTAAGTAATTTAATATTACTTAACCAAGGTTGACACAAAGCAATAACGTTAAGCAATTCAATATT